TTTTCAAAAAGAAAAAAAAATTGAAAATATTGAACAGGACCTGCCCCTTTTATTTGGGCTGCTTCAGCAACAGAACACACATGGCTCACATCTTCCCCAACATCAAACGAACGATTCCAAATACACACCCCCCAGATCTATAAGAACCCCGCTCAAAATCACTCAGTATCAGACAAGATTAGCACAATTACTCCGATTCCAGGGTTCAAGTAAGATATCAACAAAAAAAAAAGGATTATGGCATGTAATATGGCTTGTATTCAAAGAACAGGCTTCAGCTCGAGAGGGCTTACTAATGGAAATAATTCGGTTTAGGCTCATCAAAGAAAATGGTCACAACACAAAGGTTCATCCTAAGCACCCTTATCAATTCATGCAGCAACATTCATCAAGAATTAAACGAAGACGTGTATAACATGGCAAATTCTAGAAAGATCAACCAGTCATGACTAACACTCAATGAATAAAAGGAGCATCATGTTCGTTACATGCTCATTGGCTCAAATCTCACAACAAATAAGGGTAATTAGTGCTAATCCTCGTGCACTCGGCCATAATCATCAAGAGCAATCAGTCAATCAATACTCAGCAAACAAGGATTCCAAAAATTTTCGCACACATAATAAAAAAAATTCAAGAACTGGCATTGGAAAGAGAATCAAGCATAATCATCATTGATAAGACAAACAAGACTCAACACCATCCGACAAACATCAAATCCGACTTCAACTTTAACAGGCAAATCAGAATCAAAATCCATATCAAAATATCAGAGATACTCTCGAATTCAATTCAGCAAAAAGGCAGCCAACGTCCATCCCCCACCCCACACTTATGAAAAAGGACGTTGTCCTCAACGACACAACACAAGACTGCAGAGGAAAATAAAAAAAATGAAAAATAAAAACAGAGAGGGTGCACGGACTTCCCTCGTCATGTGTGCGGTTGATAAGATTGGGGGTATCAGTGGGAAAGGCCTGGCCCCGCCTGTCGGCGCTCCAGCTCCTCGACTCGAGCCCGCAGCAACTCCAGCTCCCTGCGCAAGTCGGAGTCTGATGGTTCAGGGTTGGATGGGTGTTCGGAGCTTGGCTGCTGCTGCTCGGCTGGGACTTGCTGCTCTTCCGGAATCCGCTCCGGCTGATCGGGGAATGCGGGATGCTCCATCTTGACGTTCGCAGCTATAGATAGGTCCGTGAATGAGCGGTTGGGCAGGGGCAGCCTCTCCACGTCCGACACCATCCAGTAATGGGTGCTATTGACGCTCTTCAGGGCGCCAATGTTCTCGAGTATCTGAAGATCACAGCGGGCTGCCCCGCCGATTGCCTTCCGCCCACGCAAGTCGACCCCGAGATGCTCG